CAGTTCCAGTAGACATCTGTTGCCCTGGAGCATTAACCAATCTGTTCAAAGGGACATCCTTCCTTTGTTAGGGGAGGGATGCTGACAACCGCACTCCCCGAAATACAATGGTAATTAAATACACAGAGGGTACAGCAGTAGGTATTTATTACATATTCATTATTTTATTTTCATTGTTCTCTTAGTATTACCATTTGGACAACAACCAGAACCCACTTTATGGCATTGTAACTTTACATTACAAACAAACAAACTGATTTAACAAGTTTATGGTTTAATATTCTTGATTAATATGAGGCTCTTTAGACTATAAGATAAATTATATCTGATTCGAGAAGAAGGGTTATCCAAGTTATCTAATGAGAACTCTCAGAAAGTCTCACTAAATGGGGAGTTTGTGTGTATGCAACAAATTTCGAATAAACAGCCATTATATTATTAACCTGCTAAGATAAAGTTTCTTTCTGGCCATTAAAATATTATACTTCATCATCATCTACAAAATTATGAAAATTTTGTTCTTTTTCAATAAATAATATTACTTGATTTTTAACTTATTGGGCCTTTAGCAAGAAAAATTGTTTTTATTTCCAGTACAATATCTGGAGGAAATCTATACCTTTATAAGTGTAGGAATCTGTTTTCAGACAATTATATTTTTGCCCAATACTTCCTGTGTTCATGAATATAGTATGTAAAGACCAGTTATAATGGATTCCTGATATAAAACTTAAAAATTAAGCCATATTTCTTGGAGTTTTCTGATAACTGTCAGAGTATAAACTCTGACCTACTTTATGTGTGAAACTTTGTCTATTTGCTGCTTCATGAACTGAGGAAAATTACCCTTATTAGTTAATAGTTGATTACAGATGACTTATATATGCTTGCATTTGAGTAAATACAGAACTTAAAAGTCTAATAAATGGCTTGGAAATTAAGGAGAAAAGTATTTTCTACATTACGTGTAATAAATTTTGTGATGTTATTATGAGAGTCTTCACTATCTTTTCTTTTTCAAAATTATATTGATCATTTTTAAGGCATTGAACAAAAGATCATATGCCATTCTTTATCCTAAGATTCTTTTCATTACTTGTAAGTTTTACATATTCGTTGACAAGTACTGCAACATGTGAAAATATTTTTATCAGTTTTTAAATCTTAGCATTTAATTTTTTATTGAATGATTTCAAGATATTGCCAGGTTCCTTTTTTTTTAAAGGGCCATATTAAGGCAATCCTTTACTAATTACAAGTGGGTAAGGAAGCATTTTAGTGGTTAAAGTTTAAAAAATAAGTCGTTACCGTTCGGGTCAATACAAATCAGGTTATTTCAAGTTTGTAGGCCTGGCAAGTGAACTCAGTTGACCTTATTTGTACTATTATATATTTAGCATGTTGATTTATAGGTACTAAAAATTATTTAACTGCTTGTTTAGGACAAGATAACATTGAATAACTTTCTCTGAGGTAACCAATGAAATCTGGAAGATGAAGAGAGGCCTCTCAGTGTGAAAAAAAGTTAAACCAAAGTCTTTTAAAAGAAAAAGTATTTTGCAACAAAATTAAATGTTAATTTTTAAAAAATAGGTTAGATCAAATTTACATTTATGTTTAGTATTAAAAATCATATTAGCTCAGTTATTTCAAACTTTTGGGTTAAATGGCATATATAAAATTAAAATAATATCTCCTAGTTCAGTCTAGGGATTTGGTCAGTGAATTATTATCTTGAAGAATTATTTCATAACAGCACTTATGCATGAATTGCCACAAGTTAAAGGTGTGTAGTATTCACTAAATATGTTCATATACAAATGAGTTTTATCTGGTTTAATAATATAAAAAGCAAACAACTGACAATCTCATTTTTCTCTCTTTTGTATCATAGTCATGTAATAAAAGTATATAGCAGATTTACATAGTGTCACCAACACTTTTATATTAAACTGAAGGTGATATGTAAAGATTTATATACTTTTTAGTGTGGCTAATTTTCGGTTTAAAAGCTTTACAGTATCTGGTTTTGTTTCTTTGAAAAACATAAAAATTTTATTTATGCTGTAAACATAACATTTCATCTTAACTTTCCCCACTGGCTGTATTTTTCATAAAGTATTTGTCTTGTTTGAAACAGTCCATAAGAAAAATGCTACTGCTCAAAATTAAAATAATATCTCCTAGTTCAGTCTAGGGATTTGGTCAGTGAATTATTATCTTGAAGAATTATCTCACAACAGCACTTATGCAAAACCCAAACTTTTCAGGGGAGATCAAAAATGTTGCCCATTAACTACACTTCCTGCAGTCAGAGCAGATTGTGGGGTTTACAGAACAATGATGTCGGAGCTTCCAGATCGGTTTGGCAGCTGCATTGTTCTCTGAGGGTAAACCAGACGCACTTAAGTCCCAGTCTCTTTTATAGGCTTTTGTTCATACCAAATTATTCTTTCACTGTGCTAGCATTCATGATGGCATGTTAAAAGAGTGCAGCTTAGCAACCAGCTTCTGGTTGCCAGGCAGCCCAGCTTCCAATAGGTTTTTCTTGTTTAAAATACTTTCAGTGGGAGCTCTACGAAGGCCACAGTGCAGATTTTTCTTTTAACTGTATCCCTTTATTAGGATGCTGCTGTGATTTGTTACTTGCATTATGGCATCAGTATATTACAATAGTTAATAAATCAGTGAGTGTAAAGATTTGCTTTCAAAATTCCTTTAATTCTAAATAATTGGGCTCATGCATATCCATATTAATAGAAAAAAATTGAAATGGATACAGTTTCATAATGAAGCAATGTATATGGAGCTCGCCTAAGGAATATTTCTTTTTATCAGTTGTATAGTCAGGAGCCAGGAGAGTTTGCTGTTTCTTTAAAACTAATGGAGGCTACATTAGTAGAACAGTGATATTAACGTCTGTCTTCTCAAGGGATAAAATCTGAAGAAACTTTGGTAGAAGTGTGTAGGAGTTCTACACTGAAAGAATTTTAAGTGTATTGTATCAAGTAAAAGATTGCCATGTTCTCTAGTATTTACCATAATTAATATAATTTATTTCATTTTGTAGCAATATTTCACTCTCTAATAAGTTCAGCAAGTATGTATTCAAATGTGTGACTTAGAAAATCACTTAACATTTTTTTTTAACGTTTATATAATAGCTCCTTTCTAGTGTAAATAAGATGTTGAAGAGCTTTAGAATGAACTGTTTTTCCAATATCTTTTTTTAGGTTGTGTAAATAGGTGTTTTATGACAGTCTCAAATTGAGCTGCCACTGGCATACTATATCCATGGATATAACACTGGAATTGCCTTGATAAGTAAACTACTGATGTAAATATAAGCCTTACAGTGAAGCACAGGAGAAAATAATGTTATTTTGTTAAGCTGTCCTGGTAGAGAAGTAACAATTATTCCCAGTAGACTTTAAGGAAAACGATAAAGCAGCAGAAGCATTTTAAACAGTAAAAGCATTTTTATAGGGGGAAAGTAGAAGAAAAGATGACTTTTTAATCAAATGCAGATAACGGTTTATTATCTGATATATAGAAGTATTTTCTGCCATAAAAATTTAAGAAATTAAGATAACATTCAGTGTACATAATTATTTGCTGCTAATTTTATGTGAAATATTTTATTTCTCTCCTATCTATAAATGTTCATAGAATACGAGAGCTTTTCCCCACTCCCTGGAATGAATAAGAGAGCTTTTCCTCCACTCTAGTGTCCCTGGTGCTTGATAAGGGTAGCATAACATTAAAAATTATATTCTGTTACTGTGTTCAGTGTTCACAAAATAAAGCTTATTAGGGCCAAACTATTCATCTCTTAAATGGAATATAATTGACTTCATCAGTTATTTAATTCCTGTTGGCTGTTGCTGAATGTGTGCTCTTTCAACTCAATAGCGGAATTATTTTTGAATGTCTCTAGACTGTCATTGAAATTATTAACTTTATAATTAATGATACTTTTACAATTGTAAGTTAATGTTTCCTTTCTTTCCACATGGCTTTCTCTTTAAAAGAATTTTTACAAATTTTTTATGAATTCTTTTTTTTAAATAGACATAAACTGCCGTAGCATATCTAAAACACTCTTCCTGATAGTATTCTGTGTGTCACTGTAGAAACATAGGTAGGCCTTTCTAACAGTAAAAAAGTCTCTTCCATCAAGGTTGAGAAGCAGTATGATATAGTGGAGCCAGACAAAAATTGGTAAAAAAAAATCCAGTTCACTACTT